AAATAATATCAATAATAATAATGATAATAATAATAATAATGATAATAATAATAATAATAATGATAACAATAATAGTAATAATAATAATAATAGCAATGATAATTATAATAATGTTAATAATAACAATAATAATGATAACAATAATAATAACAAGGATAATGATAATAATGATAGTAATAGTAGTAATAGTAACAACAACAACATAATAATGATAACAATAATAATAACAAGGATAATGATAATAATGATAGTAATAGTAGTAATAGTAACAACAACAACAATAATAATAATAATAATGATAATAACAATACGAACTGAAATATGAAATCCTTAGTATATGCCAAAAGGGGGTAAAAAGAAGATACTAATAATACCTGTGATAATAAGACCACCTGGGTATAGTACAGACAAACTAAAACGGTATATAAACATACTAGAATGCGAAGCTGACATCGAATCCTCACAAAAAAAAACTGGCTGGCTGCGAACTACAAGAATTACCAGAAGCAGTGTATTTTATATTTGTTAAAACGTAGACGAGTTTCTGAAGTCAATGAGAACGACCTGAACATTGACTTATCTTGTCGCCATCTAAAACTGTGTAATAATAATATTGATTATGATAATATTATTAATGATAATAATAACAATAATGATAATAATAATTGTAATAATAATAATAATAACAATAATGATAATGAAAATAATAAATGATAAATGATAATAATAATAACAATGATAATAATAGTAATAATAATAACAGTAATGATAATAATGATAGAAATGATAGCAATAATGATAATAATAATCATTATCATTATTATCATGATAATTGTTATCAACATTATTATTAGTAGTAGTAGTATTGCCATTATTACCCTTACTATTATCGTTATTATCATCATTATCAATATTATTTTTATTATTATTATTACTATCATTATTATATCTTTATTATTATCATCATAATTATCAATATTATCCTTTTAATGATGCTATTAGTGCTAACAATAATGATCACAACAATAGCAACAATTCCAATAACAAAATGATGACAGTTATCGTTATCAGCATAAACAGCAGCATTGTCATCTTCACAATTGTCCGTGGATTGGTTTATAAGTATATAAGATCCCACTTCTCAGTTTACACTTTAAAGTTGTTAATTTTCTGTATATTATATATGAAGTTTCTTTAGAGTGAAAATTGTAAGCATCTCCTTTTTTATACGAATGCCCTGAGGTATTTCCCGAGCTGTTGTGCTTGAGCAAGTAAAGAGAGCGTGTCTTACCACCAACACCTGGCATGGGACACGGTGCTCTCCTGTATACTCGTGAAACACTAACAAGGCAATATATACATCAACATGTGGAAGTGCGAATAGGATAGTGTTATTCATTATACACATGTCTGTAATCTCTTTCCAGCCGTTTCAAACAAATCCATCTCTCATACTGGAAACTGAAAAAAAAAACATTCACTTAACAAATGAAGAGGATGAGATAAGCTTTCATCCTGAGCCGTCATTAAAGAAAATAAAAGGATGTACAGAAACTAAAATAAGAAAATATTTTGTATGTGTGTGTGAAATAACTGCATTTATTTTTGATATATGATGTTGTTTTATTTATGTTTATCTATTACCCTAAATATTGAATGAGAAACTATGAAACAAGCTGAACCATCATCCAAATGAAAAAGAACTTACAATATGTTGATAATGATACTGAAAATAAGAACGATGATAATGATGATTATGATGATGATGATGATGATGGTGGTGATAACACCAACAACGATGATAATCATGATGATAATAAAGCAAAAACGATGATAGCAATAATGATAATAATGATAGAATTTTTACAATGTCAGGCGTTATTGAAATCACAAATGTGATAAAATTAACGGCGATGTGATCAACAGCGATGCAATTAGTAGTTGCAACTAATACGATTGTGTAATATTGTGGAATCATAATTAAGTATTCCAGCCTACGCTATAGCTATGAAGACTTTTTTATTTTGAATTATCACTGGAACATTTCGCTTTTGGTCACTTCTTTCTGTGTGTCTCTGCTATTTTTCTTTTTGTTGTTGTTATTTTTCGTTAGTTTTATTCCTCCTCTCGGTCTGTTTCTCTATCCGTTTCTGTCACTTTCTTTATTCTCTCTCTATTTGCATTCTTTTCGCCCCTTTCCCTTTCTCTCTTCTATCACTTCTTCCTCCTGTAACGAAATTACCATCATTGCAAATACTGTATCACTAGTACACATTAGTTTCATTTCACTGAAAAAAAAAACATTCAAATTATCGAAAGAGAATAATAAATACGAGAGAAAAAGCAAGACAATCTGTGCACGTCACCTTTGGCTGTTCTGTTTTTATTTGGCTTTTGATATCGTTCACAGTTTTCTATTGTGTCTCGCGATAAAATCAGCCTCCTGGTATTGTTCATCGCTCTGTTTGTCCCCGTGTTTGTTTGTTGGAAAGGTGTGTTTGTCTCTTAATTGAAATTGCTCTGTGGCCTGGGTTTATTGTTCTTTATTTTGCTATTTGTTTATTTGTTTGTCTTTGATACATTTTCAAGGTTATAATCGGCGTATCTGTTTCATTGTTGGTCTTGGGTCTCCTTATCATAATTGTTCACTTGTTTGCTGGTTGCCTTCGTACAAGTTTACCTGT